GGGGAGGTGGCGCGCAATCTCACTCACTCACTCACTCACTCAACTCACGAAGGGCCACACCGACTCACTCAACTCTGGCCATCTTAGCAGCTGACGTGCGTGTCTGCTCGATAACTAACCTAAAGGCCGAAGTTTTTGCAATTTTCGCCAGATTAGTGGTCGCCTGTCTCGCCTACTCCGCCACCCTTCCCCTGCACCCCTCCCCTCCTAACACGAGGCAAGTTCACTGCCCCGCCTGTTCAACACCGCGTAGCGTCTGTAGCATCTCCCTGACTTAAGTGAGCTCACATCACCCGAACTGCTCTTCGAAAGAGGCGACGCGAGCGCGAATAGAGACGGGGCAGGGGAGGCGGGAGCGGGGAGCGAGGAGGGAGAGGAGCGGGAAGAGGAGGTCGGGGGAAAGGGGAAGCAGGGAAGGGAGGCGGGGGAGGGGGAGCGTGACGTGTGCGGAGGGGGGGGCCGGGAGAGCGGGGAGGTGGGCCGCGTTTGAGAGGTCCGACGAACAGGAGGGATCGCAATCCCCAGGCCGACGTCCTTGCCAATATAATCGGCTATTCACACGCCGTTACTGCCGTCGTCGCGAAGATCGTTCCCGCCGACGTCGCCTCCCGTCATCGTCCGCCGACGCCGACGACGTTTTTTTTATTATTATTATTTTATTATAAGCTCGGTGAATACAACTTTTCAACAAGTGAAGATAATCACGTATCAACCTCAACAAAAGTCAATATTTGTATATTAATTATTATTTTGGGTAAAGCGTTATAGATACAGGGCCAGGGGGTACTATAATGTAACGAGTCACTTCAAATCTGATCGAAGATCTACTGTAACAGTCATCTCTTATCAATACACGTTTACAGTAGGCCTATGTAACAGCAGGCTGGTAACTAGCGACAACAAAAATCTGTTGATTTGTTATTCCACTGAAAAAAACGAGTGGACCGGATCGGCCGGTGGCGCCGCCCTCGTGAGTGACTCAGAGTGAGTTTACGAAACTCCCATTCACTAATGATGGCGGTTGTGTTTACGTTGGAAGTTACGAAAGTCTGATAAATTGGACAATAGTTGTGACTATTTCAGAAGAGAAGGAACCGCGTGTGGATTTTCAGATTTCCTGATCCCGGACGGTTAAAACGGTATCAAGGTCTTTGTGTTCGGTTGTCTGATTGCTGAGATCTAGCCATTTCTATTCGCGACTCGGTTAGTGACAAGTAATTTTTCGCATTGGCAAAAAACAGTGGTTTGCCATCAAGTTTAACGGCTCTAATGTGGAATCGAGGTACAGGGGTGGATTAATTGTTGTGCATGGTCGAAGTGGATACATCTGGCTGTGATATGGTGCAAAAGTTGATAGAATAAGTGTGAATTTCTGTCTGTGGTTGGAGCTCAAAGGAAACGTTACTGTGATCGCCAGCGTGCAGGAGTTAGATCCCTTCTTCTATTTATATATATAACACTTTTTTTTTTCGCCATAAGTCCCTGTGAGAGGCTGAAAAACGTGAGAGGGGATAGACAGAACAATATGCGGCTATGGTGTTATAGGAGGTGGAGGTTATATGATAGATAGGGATATACAGACGTAGTAACGGCTAGTTAATTTATCGCTAGGTGTCTATGTTTAATAGTTTGCCTATATTCTGTTTTCGCATGCCTTCTCTGTCTCCGAAGTGTAGAGAAGCAGTGAGTGTGTCTGTCTACTGCGAGAAGCAGTGAGCGCGTCTGTCTACTGCGAGAAGCAGTGAGCGCGTCTGTCTACTGCGAGAAACAGTGAGCGCGTCTACGACACAAAATAGTAATAATAAATTGCACTTTTAACTTTAACCCAAAAGTAAACGTAAAAACCCACTTAAATATCGGTCTGTACCATTCATTTCATCCTGCGCAAAGGCTCCAGCATTGATTCCATGGGTTCTTGCAACGCCAACCTGATCCTGTATCAGTGCTGTCAGCGGTGAAATAACCAGCACTGTGTGCTTTTTGCCAGGGTCGATCTGTAAGATAATTGTCTACAGTCACGCAAATGTAAAAAATACTATAATTTCTAATTATTATATTGTTGTTATTAGCCGCAGGGTCATCACCGGGCCTGTCTCCACGCTAGGCCAGTACCGCTAATCACGGTCACGTACACGCCGCTAATTGGGGAAGGTGGTGCTAATCCCCTGACCAGCTGGCGTGGGTGCGTGACAGGTCGTGACATAGCGGCCCCGGCAGCGTGTGGACAGCGCGGGCGGACCGCCATCTTGGATTGGCCCGCTCGCCCGGCCAGCAGCTGTATTGATCGCTCGTGGTTGCTAGGGGCAACGCCGCAGAACAAATGGCATAGGAGCCGTATTGATCGCGGCGGTTGCTAGGTGGTTGCTAGGGGTGGCGCCGTAACATGCCTCTGTCATGCCTCTGTCGACCGGCGCGACCCGCGTCGCGCGTGAGGGGGGGGGGAGCGCCCTGTAACACGTGGTTGTTACACTTCTCCCCCCACTAAACCGATGTCCACCCTGTGGACATCGAATGGCAGCCTCCTGGCTGGCCGTCCACAGGGGGGTGGGCGCGGTCGACGTCGTGGCATTATAATATTTGTTTCCTTCGGTATTACAATATGAAAGACATTACATTTACATCCAATAAATAGAATAATACGACATGTAATACAATATGGGAAACCTTAACGCACAATATAATAACACAGTACATTTTTTCCTGAGGGTCTACTGATGTGGTCGTCGGCCACACCGTACAGAACTACTAATTCGTTACAGAACTGGTAACTCGTTAATCGTGTACTGAGCGTTGTGATCGTTGTGATCGTTGTTCGTGGTGCTCATGCGTCATGGTCCTCGTCGTCGTCTTCCTGATGGTTGGCCCCGTTGGGGGTGGCGGCCGCTCGCGACATGGCCTCGAAGATGGCCGCTACGGCCATCTGGCGGACGTGTCGCGGATTAAACGTTGTCCGCACCGGGTCGTCCTCCTCGCCGACGACGAACTCGTACATTACGGGGTCGGAGTTCGTGCCCGTCCCGATGATGCGTCCGTTGTAATAGTGGTCGGGGGGTGGGGGTGCGGGGCTCCACGGATCGTCGTCGGAGTCCGGGGAGGTGTCGTCGTCGCTGGGGTATCCGGTGGTGTCCGGCTCCGGGTAGGCGTAGGGGTTGTATACCGTCGTCATGCCGTTCGTGCGTGCCTGCGGCGGGGCGGGGAGCGCGCTTTCTCCCGGCCCTGCGGCGCAGGCGGGGCAGGCGCAGGCGGAGGTGCCGAGGGCGCGGATGGCACAGGTGCAGTCGGCGTAGGCGCAGGCGGTGTTGGCGCCCGTCTGCGGTGGAGGCGGCGGCGCTGATGGGGTGTTGGCGCCCGTCTGCGGCGGAGGCGGCGGCGGTGATGATGGCTGTTCATTGGGCTGTTGCCCGTCGTTGTTGTTGTTAGCTGAGTCCTGGCAATGTTCAAGTGGCATGATAATACGTGGTACAGTATTATAGCCGGGGCAGTATATAATGTGGCTGCCCGGTCAGTGCCATAGCGGCATCTGATAAATTATAGTACGCGGTCGCATATAAGCCGCTGAATACGCAAGGTTACAAATAGGCCGATTTGAACGGCGTTTCACAATTATATACGTTTAAATGATACGCGTGTTAGCTATAGTGCGCTTGACGAACATGCTAATACGATTACGTTTAATAATTAATTAAGACGACTAGTGCTAGCGGTGCACTCGCTGCACGTAGTCGGGGTTGTAAAGCTATCCTTAGCCGGTGTTACTTAAATAATGGGCCACTCTTAAGGTTCTAGTGTGCCTAATAGAGTGGCGATTAATATCGCTAATCTAATGACACTAGCTTAATGTCCGAGAGGAAGTTAGACAACACGAGGTGGTGGTATCGGGCAGGGGGCTGGTGTGGGCATGGAACGGCGCGCTGGGCGGGGGCGTAGGGAGATGTGGCGGTGCAGTATGGGAGTGAGCATGGAATCCTTAGGGGTTGGGGAGTTAGGGGTCGTGTGAGGGAGCATCTGTGCGATATTTGCATTAGGAGGG